CTTTTGCCTTTTATATAATATTTACAGATTATTAATTTTTATCACATGTGTAAATGAAGTTATTAAAGTTTACAAGTGTACTCGGGACTTTATAAACACGCCGTATGCCTCTTTTTAAATTCATATTAAAGAAAAATAATATTTTAATGTAAGAATTTCTTGTTTGCGTTCAGCTAAATAATTCACTAAGATGATATACTCCTGTATATGGTAAAAAATTCAGCCAGCGGAAAAAATTAATTAAAGTGGATTTACCTTAACGTGTGCTCGTTAAAGGTGGATTTATTTTCAATACACACGACTATGAATAGATGCTAATGAGGGGGGAGGGTGATGACTCAGAGTGTAACAAAGTATTAAGGTCACTGACTCACTATAACCTGAATATGGGACCTGACCTTATCTAACCTAACTAACTTATCTTAACCTGTCCAAATTTGACCTTTCCGGAGTATAACCTAACTAAATCTTACTCACCCCTAACCTAACCTTACTTAACCTAACTCACCCCTAACCTAACCTTACTAAACCTAACCTAACTAAATTATAACAAACTCGCCCCTAACCTAACCTAACTTTTCGTACCTCAAGCCTACCTAAAGACAGTCCTAACCTAAATCGTGACCTCACCAAAACATGACCTAAACTAACCTAACCTCCCACTAAGTTTGATATCATCTAACCCAAACTAACTTACCCCTAACCTAACTTAACCTAACCTATTCCCAAAACATAACCCAAACTAACCTAACCTATCCATATATTATAATCTAAACTAACCTAACCTACCTCTAACGTAATCTACCCAAAACATAACGTAACCTAACCTAACCTACCCAAATATAACCTACCTTACCCTACCACTAAACATGATCTAATTTAGCCTGGGGACTCATTGTGACAATTCGGCTGCCGGTCCGGAAATTAGTGTGGCCACCAAAACACCTTGTGGGGGGAGGGGGAGGAGGAGGGGTTGAGGGGGAGGGACATAGGGATAATGTGTGGGTGATGAGGGTGGCTGCCACGCTTATTGGAACCCGATAGTGGTAGTTCTCATCACCGGAACCCATTCATGCCCTCCTCATTCCATCCCCCCTATTAACCTTCCCCCCCACCTCCCCACTTCTGAATTAGCATCATTGACTCAACATCAGCGACTGACTCAACACTAGGGACTGACTCAACACTAGGGACTGACTCAACAAGACAAGAGGAGGACAGGAGAGGATAAGGGGGAGGAGAAGGACAGACGAGGAAAAATATCCTCTTCTCTCTCTCTTCTCCTCCTCCTTCCCTTTCTCCTTGTCCTTCTTGTTCTCCCTCACTTTCTCACCTTCCTTGCATCTCCTTCATTACATATTATATCGTCCTCTTCTCCTCTCTCTTTCTCCTCCACTCATCTCATTCGTGTCCTTCTCCTCGATCAAACCTAACCTAACCTAACCTAACCTAACCCAACCTAACCTGACCTGAAGTGCAAAAATAACTACCTACCACCAGTTCCCAGTAAGTGTCGATTCTGGCCCACATACTCGTATATAAGTTACCAATCATTTAGTCCCTCCGCTTTATTACGAAGAGAGACTCTGGGACAAACACCATTTGTATTCTGTTTGTCTTGGCAAATAATAACACGAAACACTAATTGTCACGAGATTATCATTAGTTTTTTTCTTTCTCTCATTGCACATTACTCAGCAACCTCCTACTGGCGGCGGTGAATATCATCATGTGTGTGTGTGTGTGTGTGTGTGTGTGTGTGTGTGTGTGTGTGTGTGTGTGTGTGTGTGTGTGTGTGTGTGTGTGTGTGTGTTGTGTAGTTGCCTTAATTAAGCTATCAGGACACCACTAGTAGTGAACTTCCCTTGATTACTACACATTATTTTTTTCTTCTTATTTCACTTTAAGATTAAACACTTTAACGCTATCTGGGGGAGAGGGATAGATTAGGTTAGGTTAGGTTAGGTTAGGTTAGGTTAGGTGAAATAAGCTGGGGTGTTTATAATCTTCGTCCACTCGAACACAAAATAATTAAAAGGTAAAACAGTAAAATAAAACCAATAAATAAAGAGAGTGGATAAAGAGGACCAATAACAGCGGAGACCCGAATAGCGATCCCACAACAGACAAGGGATTAGTAAGACAGTGATAAAGAAGAAGAAGAGGGAGCAGAAGGAAGAGGAGGAGTAATAAGAAAGAGGAGGAGGAGGAGGAGGAAGAAGAAGAAAAAGATGGAGGAGGAGGAGAAGTAAAAAGAAGAATAATAGCACAAAAAGAAGAACAAGATCAAGAGATAAACACGAAAATGAAAGCAATAACAATACCGATCCTCCTAACCTCTTATAAGGTGAAGGACACACAACTCATGTCTCACCCCCACACAACTCATGTCTCACCCCCCACACAACTCATGTCTCACCCCCCACACAACTCATGTCTCACCCCCACACAACTCATGTCTCACCCCCCACACAACTCATGTCTCACCCCCACACAACTCATGTCTCACCCCCCTTATGTCCACCCCACAACTCATGTCTCACCCCCCACACAACTCATGTCTCACCCCACACAACTCATGTCTCACCCCCACACAACTCATGTCTCACCCCCCACACAACTCATGTCTCACCCCCCCAACTCATGTCTCACCCCACACAACTCATGTCTCACCCCTCCCCACACACTCTGTCTCACACCCTCCACAACTCATGTCTCACCCCCCCACACAACTCATGTCTCACCCCCCCCACACAACTCATGTCTCACCCCCACACAACTCATGTCTCACCCCCACACAACTCATGTCTCCCCCACCTCTCATGTCTCACCCCCACACAACTCATGTCTCACCCCCCACACAACTCATGTCTCACCCCCCACACAACTCATGTCTCACCCCCACACAACTCATGTCTCACCCCCCACACAACTCATGTCTCACCCCCACACAACTCATGTCCCCTCATGTCAGGAGTACTGTCGGATCACCTGATGATTATCTCCTCATAACTTGATGATTATACACTAATGCTAACCTAACCTAACTTAACTTAATTTAACCCAACCTAACCTAAACTAACCTAATCCCTCCAGGACGCATTAGGGTGTCTAATCTTCAGGTGTTCTGGAGAAACCTCTGTTGGTGACTGGTTAAATGAGCTCACCTCCTAATTGCCCAAACATAATTATTGAGAGAGACGCGGCGGCTGAGTGGATACAGCATTCGCCTCTTGTTGTAAGGGTCACTGGTTCATGCCCCGGAGCACCCTATGTTCACCCAGCTGTAAATGGATAGATACCTAACTTTACAGATGGGAGAGTGAAGGTGGTCGAATACAGTGTCCACAATCCTACCTTTTTACGAATGCACACACGCACACACACACACACACACACACACAAAGGCTTAATCTTCAGTGTACTATATCCACGCTGCCCCTAACTGATGGAATGTCACGAACGAAACAAAGTGACAACACGACAACAACAACAAATAAATGACGCCTGTTGTTGTGATTCATTGCTCAGAAGAGATGATCCGTGTGTGTGTGTGTGTGTGTGTGAGTGTGTGTGTGTGTGTGTGTGTGTGTGTGTGTGTGTGTGTGTGTGTGTGTGTGTGTGTGGTCTTTGTATCTATATATTTATACCAGTTATGTACTATATATGTACGTCTTTCTTTGTGTTTGTAACCAATTGTGTCTTTATATATGTGTCTGTAAATGTGTTCCTGTGAGTATGAGCAAGGGAGATGACACAAGAAGGGTTCACAGCAGTGAGTGAGTGAGTCAACCCGTGAGTAAGTGAGCCACCTCCACCAGTAGCCAGAGCCATGAGCCAGGGTCACCCACCTCTCGGAGTGACATACCACCAACCATTACTGTCCCCCCCACGTTCTTTATTACCTAATATTACCGATTTATTCTCTCAAGTGTTTTGTTAATTTTTATTAGCACAGGAAATTATTCTACATTTATTTCTATAACTGTAGTAATTACTTTCCTTTATTGTAGTTTTTTTTATATATATACGGTGTTAGTTAGCGACTTTATTCGTAAGAGAAAATTTATATAATGTCTGTGATTATTTAAAATGTATTTGATTATTATCATTATTTTTATTATTATTATTATTATTATTATCATTATTATTATTATTATTATTATTAAAGAGGTTAAGAATATACAATTTAGTATATTCTTTTAGTTTAGTTCAAGTTATATAATATTTTCTTCTTGTTTGTTTATATATAGTAACACAGTTGATGAGTGTTCTCTATACGTGTTATTAAATGTTACAAAGAAGACATGTAAACAGAAGTATAAAAGTACACACGAGAATATTAACATACTAGGGCTTGGAAGAGGTACATTATTGTGTGGGCGTGAGCAGTATGGGCGTGAGCAGTGTGGTGTGAATAGTGTGGCTGTGAGCAGTGTGGGCGTGAGCAGTGTGGGAGTGAGTACTGTAGGAGTGAGCAGTGTGGGCGGGCAGGGATGTGTGTGTGTGTGTCGCTGGGCGGGCAGAGGAGAACTAGTATTGGCTACAGGAGAATTAAGATGGGCAACGCACCTGACAGGAACCCGTAATTAAAGACTTGCACTGACAGGCCTGATCACCACTTACCTCACCCACCACCACCACCACAGGCTGCTACTGGTGTGTGGGTGTGTGTGTGTGTGTGTGTGTGTGTGTGTGTGCGTGTGTGCGTGCGTGTGTGTGTGTGTGTGTGCGTGCGTGTGTGCGTGTGTGTGTGTATGTGTGTATGTGTGTGTGTGTATATTTTTTTCTAACTCATTCAAAATATTCATAAATCGAATTGCTTAATAGGTTAAATTATTATTCACCTTTATATTAACTAAATACTATTAAATAAAATCCCACAAAACAAACACAATACCCACAATGATAACAAACTAATACTTTCTTCCTTAAACAGTAACTCATATTCCTCTAAAAACCAATAACAAAACGTTCCTTCATGTTTTGTTTTTGCACAGACGGACGGACGGACGGACGGACGGGTCAACAGAGAAGACAGTCAACATTATCTACAGGAGAGCGGGAAGGTAAAGGCTGTTATTATCAATCATTCGTAGCTTGATTTTTATATTAGCTTAGCTTTTAATTAATTATAGTCATTACACGGAAGGTCATTACATACACCTGGGATCATGTTACTCACTAGGTGTTGGAGTCATGTTACTTACTAGATGCTGGGGTCATGTTACTTACTAGGAGCTGGGGGTCATGTTGCTTACTAGGAGCTGGGGTCATGTTGCTTACTAGGTGCTGGGGTCATGTTGCTTACTAGGTGCTGGGGTCATGTTGCTTACTAGGTGCTGGGGTCATGTTACTTACTAGGTGCTGGGGTCATGTTACTTACTAGGTGCTGGGGTCATGTTACTTACTGGGGGCTGGGGGTCATGTTACTAGGAGCTGGGGTCATGTTACTAGGTGCTGGGGTCATGTTACTTACACTAGGTGCTGGGATCATGTTACTTAGGTGCTGGGGTCATGTTACTACTAGGTGAAGGGGTCATGTTGCTTACTAGGGCTGAGATCATGTGCTTACTAGGTGCTGGGGTCATGTTACTTACTAGGAGCTGGGGTCATGTTACTTACTAGGTGCTGGGGTCATGTTACTTACTAGGTGCTGGAGTCATGTTACTTACTAGGTGCTGGGGTCATGTTACTTACTAGGTGCTGGGGGTCATGTCACTGTCAAGGTGCTGGGATCATGTCACTCACTAGGTGTTGTGGTCAGGTCACTTACCAATTGACCTAAAACAAGAAAGATAAAATAAAAATTATCTCAAAATTCCATTCAACGAAATAAAAAACAACAACAACAACTTTACCATACAAGAATACTATTAACTACCTGAGTACAATGGCACCAACCCCTTGAGTACGAGGACCTTACAGTCATCGTACTCAAAAAAATTGGGCCTAGTATCTTCTTATTCAAAGGTTAAGTTCATCGTACTCCAAAAATTGGGGGTATCGTACTCAAGGGTTAGGTTTAGTGTCATCGTACTCAAATGTTAAAGTAATCGTACTCAAAAGGATAAGTTAACATTTGATCGATTGAACTAGATGAAATAAGAATCCTGTTATAAAAAAGATTACTAATTTTGTTTTTTTTATTATATGTCAGAAAAAACAAGAATGGAAGGACATTTTATATTTTATTTATACATGAAACGAAGGAGAAAGTAGGATCTGGACCTGTCAATCTGATCCACCACCACCACCCATACACAGGTCCTTAGAACACCCACAATGCACCATGATTTATAACAAAAGAATAAAAACCCTATTTAACACAACAGACTATAAAAAAAATATTAACACAACAATACAGACTAAAAACCCTCTTTTATATCCGTTTATTTTTATTTATATATTTTTTTAAACCCTCTAGATTAAAGTCATAAAAATTAAAATTGTAATACACAACCTCGGTGATTATACCAGCGGCTCCCCGTCCATGCAGAGAGAACCGACAATCAAATTACACTCCTTCCCCCCTCCCTTCCCCTCCACCCCTCCCCCCTCCCTTCCCTCCACCTCCCCCCCCCCATATCCCGCCAGCCAGCCAGCCAATGAGGGCACGGCAGTATATGTTGGGTGGGAAGATTGTTATCGATAAAATACATAAATTCGAGCTCATTTTTTTTATCGTATAGTTCTGCCATACCATTAATTCCATAGATGTCAAAAAATTATATCGAAAACGCTGATCAAAAAGCGATTGTGTTTTTCATTACAAAGTTCATCAGGTTTAATTGGTGTGGTGGTGGTCCTCGGCTGCACACACACACACACACACACACACACACACACACACACACACACACCTGACTTGTTTTTTCTAACTTATACGAGTATTTACCTGTATGGTTATTTACCTGTATGGTTATAAGATGATTAGTCACGTGAATCAGAATACCTGTACAATAGAGACAAACTTTCTCACACTCGCATATCTATCTATCTATCTATCTATCTATCTATCCATCTATCTATCTATTTATCTATCTATTTCACCATCATATCATTCATCCTTAAGACTACTAACACCTTTATGTAATTAACCTGTTTCAAAGACTTCCAATAATTAGTCTTAAAATGTCATATGAATATTCTCTTCTCTTTGACTATTTATTTATTTATTACGGCTGAATAGTGTAAAATAATCGTTGGTGAGAGAGACTGAGAAAGCCAGCACGAGAAAGCCAAAGTGCAAACACGTTATTAGAGAAACATGGACGCTAAACCGGAGATGATGAAGGCAAAATTTAATTCTTTTTTTTTTTCATTCTTAAACTTCAGATTTCATTCTCTCGCCAAATGGAAAGTTTTTCTTCATGGGGGAAATAAAGGATCACTGGAGCCATTGTCTACGGTGATGGAACTTGTGATGAAAGATTTGTCGTCGTAATGGTTCTCAAGAGCATCGTCCGCCCTCACATTGTTTTTCATCTCCGGGTGGTGGGTGGTGAGGCTGGAGGATGGTGGGTGGTGAGGGGGTGGTGTGTGTGGTGGA